ATGATGGTTGTATTTACTTTGAGCACTATTATACTCGTTGTTGTGATACTATACATGAAGTCCTCCACCCCCGGACGTTTCCGCCATCCTTGGTTTGGGGTGTGACACCATCTCCCCTATTTTCAATAAATGTCAGTCGATACTTCATTATTTTCGTTGATGATTTTACCAAATTTGTCTGGATATATTTTCTTGCTACAAAATCTTAAGCGCTTCAAATTGTTATACATTTCATAACAATGATCAAAACCCAGTTTGGGTGTGAAATTCAGACTTTTCAATCTGATTAGGGTGGTGAGTACCACCCTGTCTCCACTTATCTACAATCGTGTGGCATTCACCATCGCCTTTCCTGCGCTTATACGGCTGAACAAAACGGGGAAGTTGAACGACGACATCGTGTCATTGTGGAAAAAGGATTGTCACTTCTTGCACAATCCTCCCTCCCACACTCCTACTGTGAACACACATTCAAGTCCGTTACCTACATTCATAGTTGCACAATCACACCCACCTTAACCTATGCCACTCCCTACTCCAAACTCTATAAAAAAGACCCATATTACAAATTTCTTCGTACCTTCGGATGCCTTTGCTATCCCTTCTTACGTCTATATAACAAAAATAAAATGGACTTTCGATCCCTCCCTTGTGTCTTTATCGGTTACATCACCTCCCACAAAGGGTACCTCTGCTTACATGTCTCAACCTCACACATCTACATCTCCCGACATGTTGTCTTCAACGAGACTGTGTTCCCTTTTACAACCAATCCCCACCTCTCCTTACCTTTTGAATATCTAAAACCACCAGTGCGCTCTGCCATTGCCATTCTTGATCATGCCATCTCCTTTACTCACACTCCACTGCCAATCCTAACTACTTATCCTACCTTATCCACCTCCTCACCTCCCTCTACTCCATCTCCTCCTTTATCTCCCTTTCCTTCACATCGTCGTCCCACCATCAGCTCCCAATCTAAACAGGTCCCCTGTTATTTCGTCCTGCTGAAAACAGTTAGCATCAAATGCTCACTTGAGCACACACAAATTCACTTAAACCTAACACCTTTCTTGCTATCACCTCTTCTCCGCCAATCTCTAAACCTCGTACTATTTCTCAAGCACTACAAAATTCTTTTTGGTTAAACGCAATACAAAGTGAATTTGATGCTTTAATGAGAAACCATACATGGATACTAGTACCACGTCCCCCTAATGCTAATATTGTTGGATGAAAATGGATTGAAAGGGTAAAGAGACATTCAGATGGCCAAATAGAACAGTACAAAGCCTGTCTAGTCGCCAAAGGATTCATCCAGGAGGAGGGTATCGACTTCTTCGAAACATTCAGTCCAGTAATCAAACCAATCACCATTCTCTTGGTCATTTCCATTGTTCTATCTCATGGTTGGACAATCAGACAGCTAGATATCAACAACGCCTTTTTACATGGCATTCTAAAAGAGGAGGTTTATACGGAACATCCACATGGTTTTGAAGTTGCATCCCAACCCAATGCAATGTGTAAACTTCAGAAAGCGCTCTATGGCCTAAAACAGGTACCTAGAGCATGGTTCAATCAACAGAAGCATCATCTCGTAACCCATGGTTTTCGGGCGTGTCAATCAGACACATCACTTTTTGTACATCACTCCACTGTTGGCACTATATACATCCTAGTTTATGTTGATGATTTAATTATTACAGGTACCAACCCCACATTTATCTAGACCATCATCAACAACTTGCACAACTCGTTTTCTCTTAAAGATCCCGACAGTCTAAATTACTTTCTTGGTGTCCAAATCACTAAAACAACAAGTGGAATCACTCTCTCACAACAAAAATACATTGAAGACATCCTTCTCAAAAGCAAAATGCATCCTGTTGATCCCTCCACAAAACTAGTGCTCACTGGTGATCCATTTGAAGATCCAAAATTATATTGCAAAACAGTTAGAGCTCTTCAATACGCCACCATCACAAGGCCTAACATTGCATTTGCTGTAAATTGAGTGTGTCAATTTATGCACTCCCCTATTCTTCATCCTTGGCAAGCTGTAAAGCGCATCTTACGTTATCTCACAAGCACCTCCACTCATTGTTTACACTTCAAGTCTCAAACACCGCAATGTATTCTTGCATACTTCGATTCAGGGTGGATGTCTGACACAAACGACAATCGATCTCAATACATATTTTCCATTTTTCATGGTCGAAATCTTATCAGTTGGACATCTCAGAAGCAATGAGTTGTTGCTCACTCGAGCACTGAAGCGGAATACAAGGCCATCGCCTACACAACTGTAGAAATCATGTGGATTAAACAGCTTCTTCGTGATCTCCATATAAATCTTCCCCAATATCCCATGATATTATGTGACAATGTGAACATTTCTTTTCAAAAATCCAATTATCAACACAGGATCGAAACACATTGCACTAGATTTTTATTTTGTAAGAGAACAAGTTGACTCGGGCCAACTTCGCATCTCCCAGGTCCCATATGTTGATCAGTAGGCTGATATTTTCACGAAGCCTCTCGGAAAAGATCGAATCACTCTACTCAGAAAGAGTCGTTAGAATTAGTCTTTGTTGTCATGGTATTATGGCACTTCAATTCACGTGCCTAAATTTATGGTTTGAGATGTTTTACCTTCTGTATAAATACTTGTATATGTTGAAAAGTCAATACACACAAAAGTTTCTTCATTATAGGTTCAGTACACGATATTGTTTTTCACCCATTTTGGTACTTGATATTCCCGGGTCAATACTGATTTGGTACCAAGTTAATCGCTAATTGAAAGGACATTTATGTAATGTTGAATGTATATGACAACAAAATATGTAGAAAATGTATGTCGTGGAATAGTTTCTATTTTTAGAATCTTTAACGAGTTAAAATGTCAAAAACGAAAAAAAATCTCACTTATGATATGAGTTTGCACTATGAAACATGTAGTTAAGAACAATTATGAGAGAAAAATGTTTAGCTTGTCAAAATGGAACAAAAAGCTAAAAAGTTATTGAAATTGCTTCCTAAAACATAAAAAAAAACACAACATATTTTGAGAAAGTAGGATAATTAAATAAAAAATATCAAAAAGTGCCAAAAACGGAATTTGTGTAAAAGGTTCTATGAACCTTTATATATGATTAGAACACTTTTGATATGAGTTTGCACTATAAAACATGCGGTTAAGCACAATTAGTCAATTATGATGGAAAATTGTTTAACTTGTCAAAAATAGGTCAAAAAACTAAAAACGCCTAATATGACAATTGGGCATTTGAAAAGAATGTTTAACTGTTGAAATGAATTTGGAATAACGTATGAATTACTAGATTAATATAGTATGAATTACTAGATTAATATAGTCATTGTATAGTTATGAGGTCTGAAGCAATTTGCAAAAATAAAGAAATATTGTCAAAGTAAAGTAAGTTGCTAAAATTATGAAGTATGAGATCTAAATAATATCTGCCATAAAAAAGCATTATGATGTGATTAGTATAATACTACAATGAAATTAAATTACGTATAAAGAGACTAGTTACAGCATAATGTGAAGACTTAAGTAAGTTGTCGTAGATAAAAAGTTATTATTATGTTACAAATAAAAGGGTTATAGAAATTATATAAACTGAATATTGAGCCGTTTAGTAACGACAAATGTATTTTTTGATGTTTAATAGGAATTATGCAACATTGGATTGTAAGGAGAAGTGATAAGAGACTAGATGCTACCTAATCTCACTAGGTAAGTGCATATGCATTTTTCCCACTATGGGATACATGACAAAATAAGAATGATTTTTATAATATGACGTTTCTTTGCAAGTGTATGTTAATGTCTTCAAGAAATCCTTAGGAACCGACTACCGACTGGTCTATATATGAGTTTTTTAACCGATTTTGAAACATTCTTAAAGAGGACCCGGTTAAAATGGTGATGCAAGTCCAAGATTCCGGTCTTATTGCTAAAGGGTGTAATATGTCTTCTATTTCCATTAGTCCAAAAATTAGATAGCATAAGTTTATTATAAATTATATGCCAATTAGCCTTATATTATGACAATATAAAATTATTGGTAAACTTGTGGCTATCATGTTATACTATGTGATTGCATAGTTGGTCTATTCGGTTGCTTTAGGTCGGAAATTATTGATAAATGTACTTTGGTTGTGAATTTTTGTGACTAGATGGAAAAGTTTGTTTCTATAAAGTTGAATATGTTGGTGTGGAAGTGGCAGTTAGATAGGATGCCTACTCGAGTGAAACTAGTTAACAAAAGGATTGATGTTGATTCCATCGATGATCTATATGCAATGATCATATTGAGATAATAAATCATATTTTTTGTTCTCGACACTCATGTTCTTTTTATAAAGGATCAAGTTAGTAGATGGTGGGTATAAAGGATCAAGTTAGTAGATGGTGGGAGATTGATATTTCAGATTTTGCTTCGCTCAAAATTGGATTACTTGGGGAGATCATGTGAAGTTGAATGCTACTTAAGAAAATGTTTTGATGTAGTCAGTTTTGGATTCCTTGGAACAATCGACCAAGAAAAACGATGTTATTCTAACCATTGTGCCACGATTTTTTTTTTTAGTAGAAGCATTTAAGTGTAAGATAAATCAGATTGGTTGGCTTTACAACCTTAATGTTATTTTGTTCTTTTTACTATATATTTTTTGTCTAACCTCTTGCTAGCTAATAAAATTATTTCATTTCGAAAAAAAAAAAATACATTTTGTAAGTTTTGTAAAAACCGGCATAACTTCAATAACTAAGAACTAGAAAGTCATGATTCTTGAGGTGAGAGGATGAATCACGTAATCATGTAAAATGAAATGTTAATAGAAAAAGATAACTTTGCGAAAAGAGTAAAATACAATTTTATGAATTTTACATAAAATGATTTTTGTAAGTTACAATTACATACGAATATCTCATCAAAAGTAATACAAAATATCTTAACAATCAATGACACCCATACAAAGACAATATCACTTTAAAAATTAAAATCCAAATTGACCTCCATCATGAAGTCAAGCATCGCTACATTTAACATTACTCAAATGCCTACAATATATAATCCTTGTTGCAATTATTAACTAAAAAAGATTCATCAATCTCACTTATAACCTTCTTAAACAAAAAACATGAAACACACTAAATTCAAAAATTGTAAAACACCCATTCTATTTCCTGAGTGCATTCATCTTGTCCCTGAGATAATAAAGCTTGGCTCTCCTCACTTTCTTCTTGTCCAAAACCTTTATTTCTTTCACATTCGGTGAGTATCTGTCATCATAAAACCATTTATTTTACTAATTATTTAATAACAGCAACATAAATTACTCTTTTACCCTTAATAGCAATATATACTTACAAAGGTAGAAGAGATTCAACCCCAACTCCTGCAACAAGTCTTCTTAATCTGATTGTTGAATTTAAACCTGCATTGCGTCTTGCTATCACAATTCCTTTCACTGTTGACACACGTCTCTTGTTCTCAGGTACTTCCTGTAAATTTCATGGATTTTAATATTTTATCAATAATATATAAAAATTCAATTTCAAGTTTAATATATTAGCAAAAAATAAACATACCAATTTGAGCTGGATTATATAGCCTGGCCTTATATCAGGTATCTCTCTTTGTGTATTCACTTCCTTCACTGCTTCTTTATCAAGTATCTGCAAGTGAAGTACATGTTTGAGGACAACATGGTCTTTTCACAGAAGGGTAAGTATGGAAATAAGAAAAAACAAGATTTCTTGAATTTCTTACCTGCATAATGTGTCTGGCTGTTTTATCAAGCCTCTTGAATTTGACACGAGGTGCAACCTCAGTGGCAGTAGCAGCTTCATCTTGTGGGTCAGATTTGTGTGAATCATTCAATGTCGCAATGCCCCTGTTAGTAAAATGGTGCACGAGCCTGGACTCTATTGAGGGTATATTCGTACTTTTGTATGAAGCTGGTAAATCTCTTCCGTAATTTTTTGTCTAGAAATATTCACAAGTCAAAACATTATAGTCATAAATTTAAAAAAGAAGTCATAAATTTAAAAAAGAATCATTCAATGTCGCAATGCCCCTGTTAGTAAAATGGTGCACGAGCCTGGACTCTATTGAGGGTATATTCGTACTTTTGTATGAAGCTGGTAAATCTCTTCCGTAATTTTTTGTCTAGAAATATTCACAAGTCAAAACATTATAGTCATAAATTTAAAAAAGAAATCATAAACAGGGTTCACAAGAAACGATGATTTTAATCTAAGATTGTAAAAGTCCTCTGAAAGATAATTATAATCTACAATGTGTATATTATATAGATGCAGAAACAGATTTTAACATGGTATAACCGTATAACTAATCTAGCATCATCAAGTACTCAATTCATTAGCTAGTTATGTAATTCCATGATTCCAAGAAACTTCATTTCCTTTTCTTTGATCCTTCACACTTGATTTACACCAGAAATTGCATCCAACTTTACTAGTGCAAAGTACCTAATTTATGCTCACTTAATAAACAATCTAGTATTGGCGATAGTCATAACATAAGGAAAGTCGCTTATACTACTAGACCAACACAGTGTGATCTTTATTTACAATGATAACAGAACTAGATGAAAGCACCATTTTTATTCAATCCTGAATCTACAATGTATTATGTAGATAAAGCTTTTTATCAAAATGGAACATATACTTTGCTCGGACATCTGCATTTGAGCTAAATTCTACGCGATTTGGTAACGCAGGGCATCTATTACCCCTCCAAAAAAAACAACCTAATCATCAAACTTTCGAGTTCCGCTACATAATATCTAAAAATTGCCTATAACTATACCATGAACTGGAAAATGATTATCTTTGAATCAACAGAAAGTAGAAGAAAGAAAAATTACCGAAAAATGTGAAGGAAGTAACCGTGAAACGACGAGTAGATCATTAGGTTGAGACAAACAAACCCTAGACAACGGCGAATCAAAACTACGGGAGCACTTAATGACGTTCTTTGTGAGCGATGTAATTCTCCCACAGAATGATTGCATCTCTTCCGATCAGTTTCTGCAAACCCTATCGAATGCGACCGGCGTTTTTTCCAAATAGGATGCAAAACCCTCCTCGGACCTTGAAAATGGAGGTTTATGCTCCGAGCATTATTTGACGAAAGTACCCCTACCATTCTATGGTACATTATTTTAGATTTATAGTTAAAATAATTTAATAACTTACTTTTTTTTTTTTTAAATCCTAAACTTCAATTGCTTGAATCCTCAAAATTTAATTTTAGGATGTGGAATGTAACAAAATCTAAGGTGTATTTGGTTCATAAATTTCAAAAGAGTGATAACATTTGAATGTGAGTTTCATTAAAAGTTATGTTAAAAGTTATTTTTGGTTTACAAAATTAAATGAATTTGAATTCTTTAAATTTCATTTTATTTTATGATAAAAGGAATTATATTTTTTTTTTGCTAAAAACAAAGATTTTAGATTTAGTTTTTTATGTTTTATTATAATGACAAAAATGCTTTTGGATCTCCTGTTTTATTTTAGTCATGAATCATCAAATCAAAACATATTACCATCATCTCTCTTACACCCTACCAAACACTTGCACACACTCATCCTTACCCTACCCACCCTACACACATGCATACACCCTCACCTAACCATACGCACACATGTGTACGCCCATGCTAACGTCAACAAGCTCACACCAACATATTGACACTGACACCACCCACCCATCCACCCCACCCCCACCCCTACCCCATATTCTCACCCACACCCTAACTCATACCCCCTCCTACACAAACACCCTCACCCCCACCCTACCCAGATACCTACCCCCATCATCCTACCCTTATCCCCACAACCACCTCACCCTAACATCCACACTTACTTCCGCCCCATCGTACCCCATACAAACACCTAAACACACTTATACGCTTACACCAACAAGCCTTCGTCAACGATCCCGACATCGACCCCATCTGTACACCTATACTCACGCCTACACACTTGCACATAGGTTTGAATGAGTAAGAGTTTTGTAACATCCATAAAAATCAAGCCAATTTAAAACTTTTTAAATATTCAAAATACCATTAATTATTACATAGTGTTTTCAAAATAGTTAAGCATCAAAGTTCCCAGAAATCATAATCAGCAATCGAGGAAGTGTACGGTCACGCCTTCGCCTTCCCGCGGTCGTCCGCTGAACCTGAAACAATAAACTGAAACTGTAATCTCGAAGGCTTAGTGAGTTACCCCCAAAATACCAACCTCATATAACCATAATCATATCATATCGAAAAATACAGAACAACCATGTATCTCGAGTCTACAATGTCACTGGTCCGCCCGCATCGCGACTTCAGTCCACCTGGTCCACTCTCTGAGTCTACAGTATGACTGGACCGCCCGCACCGGGCCTTCAGTCTATCTGGCCCACTCTCCGAGCCTCGGCACGTCTGGACCGCCCTCTCGGGGCCTTCAGCCTATCCGGACCGCTCGTCGGGCCTTCGGTCTGACTATGTGCCCTCCCGGGTCTGCAGTCTATCCGGTCCGCCCTGGGTATGTTGGCCTACAGCACAAAGCAGGACCCGCCTCAACCCAACCCCCAATCAAACAACCATGTGCACATATAACAGATAATCACATAATACTCTATAGACAAACGAACCGATTTAACAGATCATATAGCATAACAACATCCTACAACCAGGATACCGACCTAACCGGTCACTAACATAGCATCATCCTATATAACAGGATACCGACCTAAACCAGGTCACTAAACATAATACCGTCCTAATTACCAGGACTCTGATCTAACAGCGATATCGATAAACATATCCAACAAACCAGTATACAGTCCGAGAAAGGGTCGGCCTTGGTGCCTTAGACCCTGTTGATATAGTGAGGATAACTCACCTCGCAAGTAGTGTTGCTGCACCGAAAACCTCTAATCGCTGTCTCACCGGAAGACCTGAACTATCACATAATATATGCCGAGTCAATACACAACATAACAGTCTTGGCTAAGGGTCCACTCAATCCATCATGTCCATTCTCTTTTATTGGGCCAAGGCCTAATTCCAAGTCCATAACCTTGAAAGTCTTTATGCAACTTCCTTATTGGTCTTAACCCCATGATCCACTATCACCAAGAATGGTCCAAAACATATCTACTCAGAAAGTCCAGCAAGGCCCAAACCCTACTAACCCAAAAAGTAGCCCAAACCCAAAGCCCAAATCACCAAAAGTCCACAGAAGGCGTACGTTGGACGTACCCCAAGGCTACACAGGGCGTACACGAGTCTCGCATTGACTGGAAAACGGGGTCATTGACTCAGTACGTTGGGCGTACAAAACCTTACGCTGGGCGTACGCAGGGTTTCACCAAAACCCTAATAAGTGCTTAATGGCTTAAGCACTTAAGCCCAAACTCCAGATCCAGTGACCAAATGTGCCTAGGACTCATAAAGTCTTGAACTTTATCACTTTGGACGTCCAGAAAGCTCTTAATCCAAGGTCTTAATCCATTAAGACCCTTCTACTACATGCATGGGACATCTTAAGCCATTCGGACCTCATTTTTATCACTTAAGACTTCTTCAAGGTCCAGAAAGGACAGTTTATCTCGTCCAAAATGCATCATGCACCATAATGGGGTTTTTAGGACAAGAGATGGTTCCATAATGCTAGAAAGGCTAGATCTATGACCTATAAGCATAAAGTTTGAAGCTTTTTACCTTCTGGAGCTTCTAGGGCACAACACAACTTCAAATCTACAAGCCAATCTCCTTCTTCAACTATTTGATGCAATGGCTTCACCTTCAAGAGCTCAAAATACCCACCAACTCACTCTCACACACAAGAACTAGGGTTTGGGGACGTTTCTGGAAGATGGAGGCTGAGAAGGAGGAGAGAAAATGAGCCATAAGGTTGTTTATATAGCCCCCAACCCGAGATATTAGGGTTTCCTTCTGTTATGAGTACGCCCAGCATACTAGGGCGCACCCTAGTACGCTCAGTGTACCCTTATGTACGCGCAGCGTACTCCTCCTGGTCCCAAAATTACAATTTAGCCCTTAGGCTCTTCATGGCTTTACCCTTCCATCCCCAGGGACTATAAATGAAAAAACTTGGGATGTTACAACTCTCCCCCACTTAAATTCGATTTCGTCCTCGAAATCATTCCTTACCATCCCTGGTAACCCGACATCCTGAGGGGCACCTCCACAACCATGACATCTGACGACTTTCAAATTAGACTAAACCCAATGGGAATCTTTTCATTCCAGAGAAGACGATTCCACAATCCCATACGGCACACAATCCTTCACCACCTAAAACCCGTAATCTCGAAACCTGGATTCGGTCCGTCTCCCTAACAGACCACACATACCAACCCCTGCTAGTTCCCTTCCCATTACTACTAACGAACTACTCAGCCTTGGGAACCTGAGGTTTCTACCCATAAATAGAACCATGGGTCATATTCTGCTAAAACCCTGCGCCCACAACTTACCGTTTGCCCGTCACTTCCATAAAATACAATTGTAACATCCGGAATCCCAGGTATCTTATTTTAGTTATTTTATGTTGGGTTTTATGGAGGGACTCGGCGAGTAGACGCTCAGACTCACCAAGTAGGATCGCGAGTTCTTGACTGGATTAATGACCGGACTCGACGAGTAGATACGTGGACTCGGCGAGTCCGCGCCGTAAAGTGAAACCCTAAATCCCCGGGCCTGTGCCCTATTTAAAGGCCTTTATGGCCTCCATTTGCGGCCAATTCACCCCAGAGAAACCCTAGAGAGAGCAGTAAGAGAGTAGAGAGCAAGAAGAGGCTAATACATCACTTTTGGTGTAGTTTTGCTAGAAGGAAGAAGGAAACACCCATCTAGAGCGTGAAGGGAGCTTGGATCTGGGCTAATCATCTTGAGAGTTCATCTCTGGAGGTATAATCCCTTCTATTTCGTGTTGATATGATAGATTTCATGATTTTAGGGTTTTTACCTCCATTTTATGTAAGATCTAGTGAGTATGAGGTCCCCTTTGTGTTAATAGCATCAGATATGGACCATGAGAGGTCCATAGAGTCACTATCCCTCAGCTTTATGCAAGAAAATGAAAGATTGGGGACTAGGTTGCCATTTTTAGAGTTATTTCTCCATTTATGAATTGTTGTGGGTTGCATGCACGTAAAGGTTGCACCTTTACGTGACATTTGAACATTTGAAGGGTAGATCTGATAGTTAGGGAAGCAGATCTGACCTTAGGAGGTCATTTGAGGATGAACATGGAGGCAACTCGCCGAGTCCATAAGTGGACTCGACGAGTCGAGTCGGGGTTGCCCCGCGATTCGTGACAGGTGTAACCCGTCGAGTGGAAGGATGACTCGACGAGCCAAGAGAGACTGAAAGGATTCAGAGGAACCGCATTGACTCGCCGAGTCGCCCTTGTGCACTCGACGAGTCGGGTCAAAGTTGACCGTTGACTTTCGTTGACTTTAGGGTTCTGGTCAAGACTGATTCAGGAGAGTTCAGGGAAGGGTAGAATGGCCTTCTACCCAATCTGTAGAGATGAGATCATGAGAGAATATTGATCGGGGATGTTATCTGAATAATAGGAGGAGGCTAAGTCGGGACGTTGAGCACGAGAGTTTATCCGACTTCATTGAGGTGAGTCTTCTCACTATACATTACCTAGAGTGGTATTTATATGTAGACCAGAGGGTCTTGTATGCTATGTGTATATATATGAGTTATGTGCATTGTGTTATATGTATGCTATGTGTTGAACAGACCGGGCCGGAGGGCCCAACGATATAGACCGGACCGAAGGGTCCAACGACACAGACTGGACCGAAGGGTCCGACGAGCTATGACCGGACCAGAGGGTCCAACGAGCTACGGGACTGGAGGGTCCTGCTGAGACACATCGGCCGGAGGGTCGTATTGTAGCCTCGGGTGGCGTATGTGTTGCATGTGGTATTTTGGGGAACTCACTAAGCATTTATGCTTACATTTGTTGTGTTATGTGTTTCAGGTACTAGTGAGGATCGCGGGAAGGCGCCGGCATGATCCGTACACACTGAGAGGGTTTATGTATTTGAGGATCTTGGCATTTGTTTATTGTGATAACATGTGATACATTGGATTACTATGA